GCTAATATTATGATATACCGATGCGCTTGACCGATTCCCTGTTGAATTTTCACGCGCGCGCCTATAGTTCTATAAAAAATATATACATTTATGTATTGTTATATTGTCGTAGTGCCGCTGTAGAGCGGGGCCCGATCGCCGCCGTGGCCGAGACGAAACGCGTGTTTTGTCGGTCGTCGTCGTCGCGTTATGAATATTATTATTATTGCTGCTTCATCGCTTCAAGCTGTACCTAACCACTTCGCCGCGCGTCCGATCCACAGACGGCATCGCGGTTAAAATATACGCGCGCGCCACCAGAGTGCTGTTTTATTTATCGCCGCGATTATTATCGGGTCGTTTTCGGTTTTAGGTTGTTGGAGGATTTTTTTTTTTTTTTTTATTATTATCATTTGCGATTGATAAATCGACAATTTCTCCGGGTCGCGTTAAATTTGATTTTTTTCCCTACGCCACCGCTATGTATAGAGTATACACAATATACATTTAATGACTCGGAAAATGTGGTTCTCGTAAAAAATAAATTACATTTACTATTACGGTTAATGTCAGACATCTACACCCCGTATCAACCTATAAAATAATCCATATACGTGGTTTATCTTTCAATTTTTTTATTTTTTTTTTTAGTTTTAGTTTTTTAGTCATTATTTAAACACTGGATTTTCTTTATCTCTTAGTGTTTATTTGTATTTGTAAATCGTTGATTTCCGTTTTCAGTATGTTTTAATCAACTTTCATCCGCCTGCATCTACATACCTACGTTTTAATGGTTTTACACGTGACATACGTTTGATTGACAAATTGTGAAAAATTATATTTAAAATTTAATATTATAGTAATATTATTTTATTTATGTAATTTGATTGTTATTTGAAACAAAATATTCTATTTAATTTTATGAGGTCTTTAAATCTTAATGGAATGTTTTTTATGATCAAGCATTCAATGAGCTAATCAAATTAAGTGTCTAGTTGTGTATGTTGGAGTTTTTAAAACAAAATATTTTTTTGAAGGTTCCCTAATATTTAATTGTCAACTATAGATATTTTATTTTATTCAGTTATTAAATTATATAAAATACCTATACAATATTATATAAATAATAATTATTCGATAGAACATTATATACATTATGTTAAAATACCATTTTATAAACCAAAATAAAATAGTTATTTAGATAGATACGATGAACACTTGTTGGACTTTTTTTAATATCCATAATTTTTATTCATGATTTGTATACAATCATAATAAAAACAATAACCATAGTTTATTGATACTAACTTATAATTGTTTAATTAACCCTAGTTTAAGCGCTTTGATATCACAGCGTTTAGTCACCATTTCGAGATGACAATTTGTATTAATTATTATTTGTCAATTTTATCTGTTTTAATTAACTTAATACATAATAAATGCACAAGGATTTCAATATTATCAAGTAAATCGTAGATACAATTTTGTGAACCCTGACTCTGATCCTGGCATATAAATTGTGGAGTTTAGTCAAATGGGATAACAAAAAAGTCGAGGAATAGATATAATTGTCTAGAATCTTACATAGTGGAATTAATATGGTGATTAAGATTTATTTGATAAAATGTTAAAAGATTTTCCAGGATTTTAGCCTCTATCATAATTCTAATTTTGTTTGCATACCTACCTAAATAATATTAATAATAATAATAATTATTATTATTTTTATTATTACCTATATATTAAATACCTACTATTTTTTTTTTAATATTTGATTACTTATTTATAATTTTTAGGAATATTTTAAAATTAAAAAAATAATTATATTCACTTCTGTGCTATTACTGATAATATTATTATAGGTAGTATAATATATTATAAGTAAGGAGCAGATGTTTATGCATTGATTATATTTTTTTAATAACATCTAAATTAATGTGGAGTGCGATAGAAATTTGTTTCATCACTCAAAGAATTCAAATTTATCAATTTAATTTTGCATATTTTTGCATATTTGTTCGATTTTTACTTGTTTGATCATATTTCTACATTCATCTTACTTTTAGTGCATATGTGTGGTTTTTTTTATATTATATTATTAACGGAATCGATAAGACTAATATTAATAGATCAACATTTCCCGCGGCTATAGGTCTATCGCCCATATAATATTTGCGTCAACCGGGAATAGTCGATTTTCAGATTAACAAAAAAACTCAACAGAAGTTTGTAAACATCGTTTTTAATTTTAATAATAATAATGAATTTTATTTTATTTTTTAAATAACCTATTAATAATTTATTACTTTAAATTTTTAAGAAATAAAAAATTTTATTGATGCATATTTTTAATAAATTCTATGCATATTTTTATACTTTATAGTGCATAATCGCATGCATATTTTAAAATTTTTTAGAGCATAAACATCCGTTCCTTAGTTATAAGTATAATAAACCACTATCAATAATAGTGGACCTTATACATTTTTTTACAAAAGAATGACTGCAATTTATTTCTGTAGAACTTAAGATATAGCCGTACAAAACAATCATATCTTATTTTTATAATGTACATTATATATAAAATAACTACGCCTCTATGTACATAACAGTATTTGAATAGCTGATAGAAATTATTTATTTTTCTTAATTAAACTTCGACAATTCAGGCCATTAGCTGTAAGATTTTTATAATTATTACTGTAAGGTGTAGTACTGTAGGCTGTAGGTTTTTGTAACACGTATTTCCATAATATGTGGGACATGAATACGTAGTTAAAAATTTGAGTAGTCAAGAGTTAGCAATGCCGGATGGTGCATTACCGCTATATTATTTAATGAATGTGGCTAAACATTACACCACACTATCCACACCATATCCCATTAATAATATGATTTTTTAAATATTTATTATTTGTATTAGTTGCCTAATGTTTTGTATTCTTAAAACGTATGGTTAAAGATTTATTACTTATTTAGTCGTTTAGTTATTATATACCATATTATATAGTTTAACAATATCTAGTTTTTAGGTATTTAATGCATCATAAAAGCCATTTATATTCTTGATAAATTATAAATAAGGTTTTAAATTAACGATTGTTTCTATAAAAAAAAATCAAAAATTGTTTCCAAAATAATATTGAAATATCATACCGGTGAAAATATTTACAAGATATTTTTTTTTTTTTTACAATTAGAAATACACAATCTCTACAACGTAGCACAATAAGTATATATGATATTATAATAGTAACATAAATATTTTGAAGTAAGAAATCACCCTTTGGTGACACTTAGCTGGGAATTAAAACAAAATAATCACAATTGAATTTAATTTGTAGATTTATGTATTTTTATTTGACCAAACTATTTTATGCTAAAATATTCTAGTAGTGTTGATATTTAAAAATAAATCGTTAAAGTATTTTGTAGTTTAGTATCTAGTATTTATAGGTATTAAATTATTTTAATTTGATTTTAATATTACCTATTTTAGATATATATTTAAATATAACTTTTAGTGAACCTAAATAGTTATAAAGAGAAGTTTAAGTTTGGCTGAAAATGTTATGAGATTCTATGTAATATGTATATATAAGTTTATTGTGATAATACTTATCAATTTATGTTATTTATATTAAGAGAAAAAATCTACAACATAAAATGTTTTCAAATAAATCAAAAGTCGTTAAAATATATATTTTAGTACATAGAAAATGGTTTTGAAATTAGACTAAATAATTTTTTATCAGCGTAAAGTACTTAGACTCTTACTCGGTCTTGCTGATTGTAAAATAATATTTATCAGAGAGCATATTTTAGCTTACATTTGAGTTATCAATAACCCAATGCACAAGACTTTGGTATCAAAGTTATATATACATATATATAATTCTACTTAATGGTCGGTGACTTATTAATTTCTCGAGTATTATTCATGATTCATGATAGTCTACGCCGTCTATAATTTGGTGGTTTAAAGTCCATTTCGATTGTACACACTTTAATGTATTTATGATAACCCTAAAACTGGGGTATAAATTAAATAATAAGTGTAGGTGATTTTATAACACTTCCTCATTTATTCTATGCCATATTTTATTATATGCTAGAATCTGTATCAATCACATTCATGTTATATTACTACGACCGCTAGTTATTGTCTATTAGTAGTTATTGTTCCGATTGAAATTATTCGGTCTGATAAAAATTTATTTAGGTGTACTCGGCAGAATTGTATATGCTGTATAGACGAAAAATTAATTAATTGGAATGTCACATCAACAGGAGTACCCGTAAAAAGGTTTATGGTTGCACATTTTGTATTTTAAATTATAATATTAAATATTTTTAATATTAGTATGGTTAGAATAAGATGGAACAATCAAATATTGACCATTGCACTTACAAACTTGTTACTTTCAGAGATTGTTCTTAACTTGAATATATTACGAAATAACTAATTTAAAATTAAAATAAAAACAATTTGAAATTTTTTAACTACTTATTTAGAAAAATTGGACTTTTTAAATTTTTTGACGCAACTTCAAAAGAATGACAATATTTTAATACTCAGATTAAATGCTTTAAAATACAAGTTTGAAAAAACTTATAAAATATAAACATAGATATACTAGGTAAAGTAAATTTTGTTTTTTGCCCGTTGCACCCACTGAACTTATTTTCTGTGGGCGCTCCCGCATTAACATTTAGTGCATGTGCAGTAAAAATTTGTAGTTATTGCGATAAAAATTGTATGGTATCAAAAGTTATCAGTTTAAATTTTAAAATAATTTTTATTACGTAATGCTATTTTTTAGTACCAATATTTACTTTGCATTAAAATCAAGCGGCTTAACTGTTTTTTAATAACAACCCTTCATCATTATATAACTTAAATTATTATCATTATTCTTTGGATAAACTTGTAACACTTTTTCTAATACTACCTATATTTAATTACTGATTAGACGCATAACATATGATGAGTAATAAACGTATTTTTTTTTTTTTTTTAGATAATTTTTCAATAGGAACGTTGGTCATAAGTTCAACTATTTTGGGATTACTCTTATGGCCTCTCATTGAGTACACCATTCACCGTTGGTTGTTTCATCTGCAGCCTCCAGATAACTCACCATTACTTATCACATTGCATTTTGGCATTCATGGACTACATCACAAGGCATGTATATATGTGTTATATTATCTCAGTCTACTAGTGTGCTTAAATAAATGAGTTTTTTTAAACAAGTCATAATATTATAATAATAGAATAAAATATAAGCTCTTATTTCACTGGTGAGCACACACTCAACATTATTACTATGTATAATGTATATGTGTATACAAATTAATGTGATAGTCTTTGGTGGAATAAATTACTTTGAGTACCTAATCATCTTTATGAAACGCTGTTATATATAACTCTTATTTTAATAAATATAAAAATGATATTTAAAAAAAAATCTTAATTTTGCTATAACATGATAAATCTATAACTATAAAATTTATTATAGTACTTGAAAGTAATGTTGGTAATTTAGGGCGATTTTAAATTATTCAGGTGTACTTTGTTTTTAGTTTATTATTTATTAAGAATGCATATTAAGCTGTGATGAGTCAATTCTTTCGGGTGAAGCTCATTACTTGTTAGTTATTGCTGCACATATTAAAATAAATAGAATATTGATTAAGAATAATAATAAATTAAATAATATGACTTAAAATTTTCAAGGTTTATAAGCAATTAAAATATAATCTACAAAATTTTAAAATATAATCTCTCTTATTAAACTCTAAAATTAATCATTCATCTAAATTTAAAATATTTAAAAATTTTATTATTTTTAATTTTAACAGAATGTGATTACTGATAAATGATAATTTATTATTCTATATTACATTTGCATTTCGCTCTACACCGTTAAAATAATGATAATTTTGAATTATTAACGAATTCAGTTTGATCTATCCGATATCCAACGGATTATTTTTTATTTATGAATAAAAATCCATAATCACCCTAAACGAGTTATTAATTTAAAATATACTACTTATTACTTAATTGTTTAAAATAGGTATGTACTCGTAATCGATATTATACAGAACAACTTCAGTATATTATTAATAAATATTGAGTAAAAATCTTTAAGAGACATTTTTACCTTTACGTATTATTGATCGAATTATATATATTAAATAAGAGTATTATTATAAAATGAAAAGAAATATTAGACACTATTCTGTTTTGTTATCTATAGTTAAGAATTTTTCCTTCATAGGTACATGAATTAATTTATTATCAAAATGCATTAATGACAGGTTTATAAAAGATTAGACAGAGGTCACTTTTATAAATTGTATCATTACTGTCGATTTAAATAATCTAATTTTACATAGGTACTAGAAACGAAAATTATATTATATTAACTCAAGCATAAGTGATTTTGTAAGTACAATATATTTATATTAAATTGAAAACATGGGTAAATATTGAATTAATTTTATATTAATTGATCATTTTCTTATATAGATATTTTAAGTTAATTATTTTTAATCTTTTACAATGTGATTTGAAATTTTAATAAATTGAACGTAAAATATTTTAACTACAATTACACTTATATAATAATTTGTAGTAAAAAAGGTTAATCAAAATTGTTCAATAAAAGTTAATTAATTTTTGTTCAAAATGAAAGAAGTTTTTGGTCTATTGACTTGTGTTATTTTATGCTTCATAATTTTAAAACATTCAAAACACTTACCTATATTGTATATTTGTATCCGTTGTTAGTTAAATCGTCTGATTGGTTACCGTTAATGATTTTAAAGTAGAACGAATTAACATCAGTTTGAAAATTATCAGTTTAACGCCTTCAATTTTATTGTAGTAGTTTTATTTATTTATAATTGTATATATTTCATATAATAATAATAATATATGAGTATATCAATTGCTTTGATGACCTTTTATAAGTGTTTCCTTAAAATATAATATTTTATTTCGAATAATTGTTAGTGATTGGCAACATTTTTGTATTAACGATTATTTCTTGTTTAGATTTGTTCAAACTTCAAAGCAGCAATAAAAATCAATTAAATAATTTTTGCATATATTTTTATTTTTTGTAATCTTAATTTTATTATTTAATGCAGTTCTATGTTATTTTAGTTTGAAATATTTAAATAACATAAGTATTAATATTATAAAGTATACTGCATTTTAAGAATTAGTTACTGTAAATTAAAAGCTTGAAATTGATTAATTAAGAACATTATATGTTTAATATTAAAACAATAATATTAATTTAAAGTACTAGTTCTAAATAATCGTATTTTGACTGCCATTAGAAATAGTGGACACATCGATTTATCGTATAATGTGTGTGTGTGTGTGTGTGTGTGTGTGTGTGTGTGTGTGTGTGTGTAAATTTTATGATGTTAATTTATTTTTATGATACTAATTGTAAAATTTCTTAAATTGTTTTTTTTTCTATGTTCAGTTAAAAGTGCTCTATGGATACCGTAGAATACGGGTGTGAATTCTATAAGATATAATTAAAGGATTGTTAAAATAACACAAAAAAAAAAAAAAATTAAAACAGTTAAATTATTTTTATATTGTTGTTAATTATTGATTTTGAAAAATAACATAACCACGTGATAAAATGATTATATAATTCAATTTTAATCAATGAAATATTTCGTCAATAACAAACAGAAAATTTATGACTTTAAATTAAAAGTAATAAAAATGAAAACAGTAATAAAACCAAACTATAATTAACATGTGTAATAATAGTTAATATTATCAATATTTTTCTTATTTCTAATTTGTTAATTATTAAAGTGAAAAATGGTTGCGTTTAATTTATAATTTTTACCATTTATTTCTATTTATATTCAGGAATTTAATTAATAGAGCTATGGTAATTTATTTTTCTTACTACTAAATTACCGATTTCACTAATAAGATAAATCTGGTTAGTGATTACACAATATTCTTTATTAAAGAAGCCGTATAGTAATATTATACAATATTATGAAGAAAGATACACAGGTATCAAAAATATAAAGTGTCTATTTAGGTACTCTTATAATTTAATAATCATAGTTGCATAATTTTACATTCTTAGAATGTGTATAAACAAGCAGTGAATGTAGATCTAAGTAGAAATTATAAAACTTTTTTTGTTTTTTATAAATTAATTATCTCAAAAATCAAAAGATTATCATTGACAATTGAAATAATTTTAAATTAATTATTCTATAAAATAATACCTAATCCTTAATTTAAACCCAATTAGTTATATGTTTACGTAATGTGACTCGTGTTCACATAAATTTTTCTTATTTAAGTTAAAATAAATTTACAATATAATAAATAAATTAAAATAGACACAAATGGGCATATGATATAAAAAGGTGTAGGTGTTTTAACAAACTGGTCAGTAAAATTTTATACTTTTACATTATTTCTAACAACACTTATGCTTATTGTAAAAATAATATATTTACAGATTTTATAATAAAATATACCTACTATATAATTTACGCAATATTTCACAACTTTACAGAAATAAAAACTTCCATCTCACTAAATATATTTCTAAATGAGTGTGTGTTGAAATTAATGATGCACCTATAGACTATAAAATCTATAATATATTTTATTATATTATTGATTATAGTACTGTGTTACGTCATCTACACCTAAATACATTTACATTTATTATAGTCTATTACGTATTACGGTATTAGTATTTAAGTGATGAATGACGATGATAAACAGTAAATATATTTTCCATTCATAACATAAAATTATTTTAAACTATATCAAAGAATATATAATTAAATTTGTTCTGTATATTAAAAGTTTAATAACATTGTTAAAAAAAAAAATACAAGGTATCCATAAGTGTTAAATTTGATTTAGTACTTTAATTTTTTGTTAAGTTTTAAAACTGCTGGTATCTTTATCCGATCCAGTTATTAGAATACTAAAATAAATAAATATATTTATAGAAACTATAAAAATAAAATTACTTATTAGGTACATTAATTTAAACATAAATATTTGTATCTTGAATTTTATCTGCAAGCATTCATTTATTACAAAATATTAATATCCTCGATCTGATATCTTCGTTTAAATTCAGTGTATCAAAACTTTTCTCTTAATTTACGATTTCTTCAGATAAAATAATATAAGACTTGGTTTATTTTTTTATTTCCATCACTTAGAAAACTGTTATAAATTATGGTTGGTATTTACTATGTAATTATTTGAAAAAGCAGGTAAACTCAATTAATTTGAAATAATATTTATTTTTTCGACATATAAATTAATATATTTTATTTAAATAATTTTAAACTATTTGTTTTGAATTATTTTGTTTGATAAACAGTATATAAACTAGAGCAGTTATTGTTATGTTTATTGCCTCAACGTGTAAGTGTATATGACTATTAAAACTATAAAATAAATTACTTTACAAATTAACTGAAAAACATGCGAAATTACTGCTGCATGTGATTGTATCTGCAATGCTCAATGTATTTCTGCCCTAATTCCTAATTTAGTTTGGCAATTTAAACTTTGATTAGTAACAAAATTAAATTAACATGCATTTTGTCTCAAAGTTATTAAATTTAGTAGGTATGTATATTAAATAGAACATGATTAATTGACAAATACTTAATACTACTAGTATGTTAATATTGAAAACTGAAAATACTGTCATCCACTTAATATAAAAATTTAGTATTATAAATAACCGCTGACAAAAATGTTATAATATTCAGATACATGCTGCATAAAAAAACAGTATAACAATGAATGACAATTTTACGTGGGTTTTTCATTTTTGGATCGATACGGCGCACTGTAATTTAGTGGGTTTTTGAGTACAATAAAACAGAAAATAAGGGTAAAGATGCTTTCGGACCTAACACGATTCGTGTAACCTATTCAGAATGAGAAGCAAAAAGCTATATTTTCCCGATTCACCCTTGTCCGGTCCGTGTTCAATCGATTTCTCGGCGTCCTAGTGTCCTACGTCAGTGAGAATCCTTCAAAATGACGACGGTTACCACCCAAACATATAAACTTCAGACTTTCAGAGCTTTGAAATTTATGGTTTTTTCGTTTTCAAAAGCAATGTGTAAAAAAAATCCAGTCAAAATATCTCGGAAACTTCACACCTGCTTAATATACTATCGAAGAAATGTATTTTGTACAATATTTTGACCAACAAATCGTTGGGTTTGTGAAATGCCAAGTACCCTACCATACATAAGTATTTTTGGTTTACAAAATTTCTTTAGTATAAATTAAATCTTTCAAACACTCAAGTATTCCATATATCTTTAATGTACTACTGTATATGTTTTACAAACATTCATCCACGTAAAAAATTTCGGTTTATTCATGTCTACAGAAATGATAAAATAAAATTAATCATAATACAATATTTCGAACCACCGTAATTTTATCAGTTAATTTAATAATGTTTTATGCGAGACGACGCTAAGCATATAAAGAAATATATTTTGTATGCAAACTATGCTCTCTGTTCATACATCCGGTTCAATAAACGTTTAAATATTACCTTAACAAACATTAAACATATAACAAAGTTTTACATTTTTATTTAGTACATAGAAAATAAATATAATATCTAAATTAATTTTATACTTAAATTTATAGAATTTTAGTTTTAGTATTAGTTTTAACTGATGGATTCTGTTACACATGACTGGATAAAAATTAAACTAATTTTCAATAATATATGTTATCTCTTGATTCATTAATTTATTTATCATATTAATTTATTTACAATTTATTAAGTATTTTATAAAAAAAAAAAAAAAAATATTAAACAGTACAATATACCATATACTCGTTTTCTTTGTTATATTAAATAAAATGTAAAATATTGATAGCTATTTTGTTATTTTATATGATATAAATGTTATAGATACAATAGAATTTAAAGAATTTTCTTCCATTAAAGGACGATTTGCTCCATGGTGTATTTCTAAAGCAACCCCAGCTTTGCATTAGTAGTAATATTTGATCCCGGTGTTTGCTATTCAGGTATCAATAGTTTTGTTCACCAACATAAGATTTTGAATGTATATTCTTATAGGATCTCAGACATTTTTTTCTTTAGTACTAACCACTTGGTATTTTAATGTTTATTTATCTAATTTCGACGATTTTTATATCGCGTAACAAAGTAAATCGAATTTTTTTTCTCAGATTTAAATTAGTTGGATGTCTTATCTTATATTTATTTTAAACGTAGTTTTTTTAAACAACCGTTATTAATTGAATATAATTTATTCTACAAGTTAAACAAAGAAAACTATTTCTCATTAAAGTAATAAAAAAACAAAACTTTCCATTTTTCCTTTTCTTATTCAATTAAAATATTTATATTTTCTTCTCAATAGTTATTTATTATATGATAGTTTGTTAAAGCTGTTAATAAAAAAGCTTATTAAATAATTTACATTTGTGCTTTGGGTATATTAAGTATTAGAAAGTAGAACAGTAACTAAAATAAATGCTATTTTTTTAGTGTTTATTTAATAAACTACATTACCTATATTATACTCTTCTAAAGAGTTTCTAGGTTAGGTTTGAATTTTGAAAAAAGCCATTACATGTAACATACTCGGTTCCTAGAATAATTATTTAATTATTTCAAATTTATTAATTATAAATAATAATATTTTATTTAAATTAGACTTTCGTTTTTTAATCTAAATAGCACAAAAATTAATTAGATATCTTAAAAACTAAAATCCACTTGGTACAACTTTGTGATATGATTATATGAACCTCGTGATTAAAATTCAAATCAACGTTAAAAATTAAATAATTAGTCGCAGAACAACAATCGTTATCAAAATGTATTATGTTGCATATTATTTGTGCCTACTAATTAAATGATTTTATTTTTATTATTTATTGATTACTTAATTTAGAAAACTATAAACTATTGTACACTGCTAAAACATTGACCACTTTTAATTAATCACTATTTAAACATAGATTCCATATTACTACATAATAATCATGATTACATAACTAATACCTATGTTATTATTTTTATTCTAACAAAACGATAACTGATAAAATTGAGAAATACAGAAAAATGGAGTATTTATGTTGTATCAGTTTTTGATATAACCGATTTTTTTCCAGGCAGGAATAAATGTAAAGTTTCTCTTGATCAAAAAGCTTACCATTTTAATTTAAGGTCCTACATATGTTTTTCTTGCAGAATTTCAAAAATGTTAAAAATATTTAAGTATAATTTATTTTATAAAAATTTGAAATTCAAATGTTGAAGAAAAAGTTTGTAAAAATTGCAAGTTTTTTCAAAGTTCATTTTATCAAGTTAAAATGTATAAAATTTTTAATTCTTATAACTTAAGCTTTAAATTATAATTTCATAAAGTTTCTCTCAAAATATTTTCAAATTGTTGTAAAAACATTAAAGCATTTGAAAATATCAAAAATACACATCGTTATTAAGTACATGGCATCAATAAATAGTAAGTCAACCATGATAATGGCCTTCATCTATATCGATACTTTATCTATTGACGTCACGTCGTTGTAGTCATTTTACAATTGAAAATTGTAAAAAAAGAAGCATCCGGCTCGCACAAAAAAATTGTGATCAAAGTGAGAGTAAATGCGACGGCATGTTTAGTCGTAAACATACATTATTGTTGTATACGTGATTGAATTGTATTTAAATAATTTGTTACAATGTCGTGTTGTAAAAATTGTATTTAATTATGATATTTATAATATACTAATATCGATAATTACTAATAAAAATCAACGTCTAATATTTAACGGGATGTCTGCGAAAAATTATAGTACACTTTCAATCAACTAACAAACAAAACCTGCTTCATCGATCTCCAAAGTTCTACGATCATTCCAACTTTGAAGTTCGAAGAGTAAACGTAGTTGATAATTATCTGTTTCACATTCAGGATTGACAATAAGCGCAATGATCGATACACTTCAGGGAAATCACACTAAACATCAAACTGTGAATACAACATTTGGGAAATCAAAAGTGATACAGCAACTGTTATTTTCGAAAGTTGTTGTTATATACAAACTTATTTTCCTAAAATTTAATGAAATGTATAAATGTTTCTTGGTTATTTTTATTATACAGAGTATACTTGAAGTATGATCGGTTCTTAATGAAGATCATAAGACGACCTGTTTTCCGAAGGTATTGACACCGTATCTGTACCGGATATATTTCCAACACGTCTTCGTTAATTTAAATTTAAAAATAAATCATCACCAATTGTATTTAAATATATTATAATAAACATATTATATGCATTTCAATATAACGAAGTAGAAAACAATAATATTATAACTTAAACTAGATGACGATACGATGCATACATAAATATGTATAGTATTGATCTTAAAATTGGTAATCCACTAGCTCATCATTCAAATTTCTCATATAACACGTCCATCTTTACACAATTAAAACGTTCTTTTATCAGTAAAGTGTTATTCCATTGGTACCGATGTTATTATGTGTAACATATTTAATAAATTATATTTATAATAATATAATATTATATTATATAAAATATGCATAGGTTGTCTTTATATTTATTGATATGTAAAATATGTAGATCGCATACTATGTTAAGTAGTTTTTAAATAAATATTACTTAATAATATATAAATTCCTTTTTAATAATTTAATCTGCCGGAAAATTCACTTTGAAACGCCCTGACGGATGACCTTCCATTAGTAAAACTCGAAGGAAATTATGTACGTTTTTATGTCAAATATACTGTTAAAACTTTCGGCTGAATGATAACAATTCTATGTAGAAAAAATATATTTGTAAATCTATGTATATTGTATATATATGCATCAAACTTCAAAGTGACCTACCTTTGTTTTATTATATAAGTCACGCATACCTGCTACAGCGTTATTAATACTATATTATTATATTCCAACCATTAACAATATACACAAACATGTCCATTATCCTGCAGGGATATATATGCACATTTTTATTCTAATAATAGGTACCTACTAAGTACCACTAAGTTTCATGAATTTATAATAAACTTATTCTCGATCAGAAAATCTTTAAAATATGATGATTAATCGCTTTTACACATTAAATAATAACAAAAAAAAAATTTCCCACTCCATTAATTAAACCGTATCACATCTGACATACCAACCAGAATCACCATAAATTGTATAAATATATTTTTTACTTACTTATATTTTAATATAAATGAAGTGGTATTGTTCCACATATTTTTACTAACAAACTTTATAATGAAATAATATTTATGATTTATACAAAAGATTTTATATTTTTATAATTTCATAACACTTAGCTTGAGCAAAATATGTATCAGGAAAAAAATTACACGCGTATTTTTTTATTTTTTTTGTTTGCAAATATCATGGCATAGTTTTTATACTTGAAAGTTAAAATGAGTTTGGAAATATTTTATAGCAAAAATAAGTTTCGCAAAAAAAATTCTTTGTATAAAAAGTGTAATGGCTTAATTAAGTTTATATGTGAAAAATCTTACCCCTTAATGAATAATTTGATTCCTCAAGTATTTAAATTTAGTCAAGCCCTTTTCATCTACTACCGTATTGTGCGGTGAACCACTAAATTTAAACTTAAAAATGTTGAAAAACGTTGTTTTACACGTGACCACAATTATTTTCGTACAATATTTATATAAATATATTGCATTATAGTCAATTATTAAATTACAAAAAAAACTGCAAATTTTCACTCCATATATTTGCGGTGTATATAATGGTGGAGAGCTGAAATCCATTCACTGCAGCTGAGTTTTTCAATACTTTTTATGTTAATCCTTGTTTTAATCTTTAATATAAAAGAAAGATTAAATTTTTATATTTTATTAAATGATAGTTTATTTAATACAGGTTGTTTTGTTTTATTCTGCAAACAGGTGCCATTCGACGACCGACGGTTATTGTTTCCGCCGGGACCGGCCGCAGTACTCATATCGGCTGCTTACGCTATATATCTGATGTTGTTTCCTCATTGGATGGCTCCGCTGGTATTGGCCGGTATGATTGCGGGTAAGTGTGATAAAATGTCATCAAAATGGTATATTATAATACTATATAAGCCTTGTATGTCATCGTGTTTTAAATGTAAAGACATACATTTAATGCAAGTAGTAGTGCATTTAAAAGGAACCAACATATTAGGTCATATTACCCCAATTAAACGAAATAGACGTAACAATTTATAAGAAAATATTATCTCAGAAATATAAATATTTCGATGTTTCTTTAAAATTACTATGTTATCAATGGCATTTTCTCTGGGTGTGCACGTTGTGTTTTAACGCCCTTAATGTGTATAATACTTTAATGCGTATAAAATATAATATAGTCATATAATTTAATTTATAAAATATAAAAATAATAATCAACTAATAAATTATTTTTAATTCAAAACCTGACCATACACAGACTGCAACTACGATGGCAAATTATGGAATATATATTATGTAGTGTATGACGTTAATTTTTTTAACGACTCGTGATATCTAATATCCCATAATCGTAATTTGTCGTGATATTGTCGGCCAACTTCGATACAATATTAATAGTTAATACTAGACCAAGTCGTAGAAACTGGAATTCACGACCAGTCAGTAACGAGTGGCCAATGGTCTAGAATTTTGTTGCGGGTTGCCTAGCCTCTAGTATTGTATTGTCTATTTTCGTGCATCAGTTATTACTCAGTTTTATGATTTTTTTTTTTTTTTTTATCAGGTTAATGACTAATAATTAAAGGCAATGAAATATTTATTTTTGAATAAAATACTTTTGTTACTATTCGTATCGTTTAATTTTTATTGCATTAAAATTAATTGTATAAATTTAGTATAAACTAAATTAAACTTATTCCATATGTACAATATTTTGTAGTTGTAGTGAAGTTGTAAATCAATTAAAACAAAAATGCTTTTCAAGAATTTAATTTACTGAAAAAAAAGTTTTAATTGAAAATGGTAAACTTTGTCCAGATCTTGACATTTTAACAAAAATAAAAATTTTCATAAAGAACTTTATAATATACTTGTCTGATTAGTTATGCAGTTGTGAATTATCGAATATATTTTTTTGTTGATTTTGTTTACTATTTTCTAAAAAAAAAAAACAAAAAAAAATTGGAACAATCAAGGGTATGATGATTTAAATCTTTTGAATACAGTTGTTAAAAACTTACTGAATCAGATTCATGTATCTATATAAACATATATCATAATCAACTGCTAGGATTAATACATTATTAGACAAAAAAAGATATATTTTCTATTTTACGAAGTACTTCTGTTTCTATACAATATTATATATAATACATTTTGTTGCTGATATTATTAATCATGAAATTTTTAATAAAATTCAAAATATACAATACGTGGTAATTATGCTTGACAAATTAAATCACAATTATCGATAACACTGAGATATTTTTCATGAAATGAAAACAAAATTGTTGAACGTTTCTATAGATTTGATAACAAAAGTGCTGACAAAACTGCATCCTCTTTATTTAATCACATAAATTAAGTAGAAGAAAAATTAAAAATATATTAGTGGTACAAAAATATAACGATAAGCAGTAGTGATGTCTGGTCAACGAGATTTGCAAAGTAAAGTTTTAGAGAAATTCTTAAATAAGCTATTTTTACTCATTGATATATGTATGTTATTAATTTAATATTTCAATAATCATTAGAATGCAACAAGGAACTTAATATTTTTTTTTGAGGTCTTAACTCTTTACCTGTAATTTTTTTTTCGTTCACACGTCTTACACATTTTACACGTCTAGCCAGTATTAAAGTATATGGCATCATACATTAGCCATCATGAATTAATTAATGTAAAGAATCTTATTACAACAATAATAATTAGTCGAAGTAATTTAATTCAACACTTCACACCAAACCAGACAAGACAAAATATATAAAATCATAACTTCGTAATTATTTTGTAATTTTATTGTTTGGTTTAACTTTATTGCATTTATAAAAAAGAAGTCAAATATTTATGCCGTCAATAATATATGATGGACGAAATTCTAGGAGAGGTGTATTTGATACATGTTGACCTAAACTAAAAATTATTAAATAAATTAACTCTATCATGCAAGTATAGTATCTATTAATATTAGGTAGTTTCAATTTATTATTTACGCCATAATTAAGCTCTTTGACAGAAGGTAGTGATATAACTAGTCTAAGTTATATAAGTAATATTCCTTTTTTGTACTAAAATAAAAATAAATAAATACGCACAATAAATCTATTGTCTGAGTGTAGGTAATATAATTATAGTACGCCAAGTTCAATAATGTATTATTATAGTGTATCGTGTTAAAAATTGACATTAATCTTACACAATCGGGTTTGCAGGCTATGTAACTTATGATTTAATACATTTCTACTTACACTACGGATGTCCCAAGGAAGGCTCGTACCTGTACACAATGAAAAGATACCACAACCAACATCATTTCGCACACCACGAAAGCGGTTAGTATATGATCACGATATAATAGTATAGTCAATATTCATAATATGTTTATTTTATGCATATATGCATATAGTGCTACCCCTTCCTTTACATTTGTACATTATTATCTTATAATTCATACAAAAAATTGAGAAGCTCAATGTAAGTGAGGGTATTTTAATATTTCGTAAATCCTCAAAATACTCTACATAATATATTGTATGTTTATTGTTTAGAAGAACTATATTTAATTAATTCGTTGACTTACAAAATGTGTTTTAGCATTGTTTTCATAAAAATCATAATACATAATATTACTTTAATTTAAAATAAATTACAATTATTCAGAAAAAGATACGTTATTTTGATAAAATGGAGAGAGATATAATGTAAAAAAAGAAAAAAAAATGTAGTTAAATGGTATCTGTAAGCCCCAATAATTTCCACTATATTTCACGCTTTATTCATCTATACTATATTATGTACGATGTGTATCAGAAGGATTTAACAATTTTACATATGAAGGTATCATATGACCGTGATACAATCTGTACATATATTACATAATAATATAATATGCATGTGCACCCTCTTTATACGAGTACGTATATGTAACCTTATTATAGACGGGCATCGTTATCCATGTGTTTCAGGTTTCGGTATCAGCAGCCAATTTTGGGACCACATATTCGGCACAGCAATTGCACTGAAAAAGCTTAGCCGATGTTTAAAATGGTACTAACCTGCTACCTGTAAACTCGTGCCTTATAAACTATAATATAATATATATAAAAAAAAAAGAGAGAAATTAAATTATAATATACTTATATATATATATATATATATTCATTTATGTATATATTAAGTATATATATATATATATTGATATATACATTTAATAATAATAATAACTATTATTATGATATAAAGGAAAGAAATCACACCAAATCTCGGAGTGCCTATCTAATGAAACTCAAATATTACAATTAATAATTTAACAAATAATGATCCGCTCACGGAAGCAGTCATAACATTACGATATATTATATATAATGTAACTCATCTAATTTTGTTATGCATACAATATATATATATATATATACATATATATATATATAAATGTATTTATTGTCGCTTTTCATTGCTATTTTGTTCAAAGGTATTACAAAACTTTAAAACTGTTTTGTTGTTACTCTGTACATTATCATTATTATTATTATTGTTTTTTTTTTTGTCTTTTTAAATAATAAAAACAATATTATTTATACTTTGACTGATTTAACTGATTGGTGTGCTAAAGCTTTTTACGAGTTATCCTCACGAGATCTATTTATCTGATAACTAATACGTCCAATAGTTACAAAAACCTATTTTTACAACCAACGTCTTCTATGATAGTGTATATATTCATATTTATTATGCCTATTGTTTGTAGTTCCCATTATTATTATTATTTTATTTTTTTCATTTTTTCGCTTATCCTTTTGCCAATTAATAATGATCAATATTTTCTCAAATAGTTTAATGTTTACTACCTACTATTATTCATAGTCTGTTAACCAATTTTTTTTCAACCTACCTACCAATATAATAGGGAGTGGTAATCAGCGTCATTATATCACGGATGTAAGTGATTACATCTACAAAATGTTTTGTACAATCTTGTCAATAATAGAACTAAATTCGTGAGTATAAATTATTTTAATACCTACGTCTATGAAACGTTAATATTTGTGAAGGAATTGTGTTCTTGCTTTGAGAATATAATTTGTTACGACTGTTTAGAAAAATAAATCGATAACGTTCCCGCCGAAGCCATACCTGTCTGCTAAACTACACCTGGATGTATCCATACATAGGGTTGTCATTTTAACGAAACTACGTAAGACATTTATTATTTTAAAAACTATATCTGTTATTCTTTTTATTTTAACTTAATAATAATTATTTTACGTGGATCTTTATGTGTATGTAGGGTGCTATATTATATTAAATAATATATTTAAATGGAAGTGTAAAAAGTATTTCAAAATTTTTTATTGAAGTAAACATAGATTGTAATCATAAAAGCTAGTGAGAGATAGTTATGGCTTATATTTGTATAAAAATAATGAAACACACTTACTAAATCAACTGTTATCATTATAATTTTTATATATGAACGGCTTTTGTTCTTGGTCAAGTAAATCCTAAACCTATGATCACACCACTAATCATCAACAGTATAAAAATACGAGTAAGTAAGCCCGTAGAATCGGACTGTCAAACTTATTCTAGTATCCCACTTTTAGGACTTAAATGTGTTGAGGAATTTATCACAACCACATCGCTTCTTGTATCGGTTCATTCCCATGTTATACTGGGCTAATTTTACTAATCTCAGATAGAATAATATACTTATTTTGTCTTCAAATGTTTTGCACTATTTTATTATAATACGAGTATTATGTTTATATTTTAAGAGGACTTGCATATGTTGTCTCCGTCTTACTAATACATAACATAAAAAATTAAATGGATCGTGTTACTCAGTTATTTATAATATCAGGGTGAATTGACTTATTATCAAATAAAAAATTTATAATGCTCATAATATATTCATATTGTATAACGTCCTCTTAGAAATATATTATTTTATTTTATTAATAGATTGTGTTGATTTTCATTGATTAACCATAATTCTATATTGATGGCCAAGGCATGCTACGTCGTAAAATTATCGTTTATGTACGAGTAATATGCAGTGTCCTGTACGGCGCAAATAAGCACAAAATACTATTTAAAATAATTTGAGACCTACTGACGATCAAACATCAGCAACATGATTAAATGATATCAGTCGTTCATACAAAGAGAGCATTCTCAATATATACAAATTTTTTAAACGATAACATATATTTTAGATTCTAAGCAGAGCAGTGAATGTATTGATTAGGTATACAATGATGTGTGTGTCCACACCACGCTTAATAATAATAAAAATGCTATGATATTTAACTTTTAAAGTGGCTTCTTGTAGCAAATTCTATCTAATTGGTACTTCAAAATTTAAAACTCTTCAAAAGAATCAGAAAAAAAAACAAAAAAATACGGGAATTTTTACGCGAAACCAGTTTTCCACAAAAGCGATTTTGTTTTTTAATATAACTCAGAAAGAAATAATCTAATAGATACCTGTTTTAAATTTTTATTAATTATTTAAATATTTGTTTTCTATATTTGATATTTTCAATGTATAATTTTGATTTTTTTCTGAGCTTTTTATTTGAAAATAAGTTTAGTTTTAAGTATAATGTCGATAAAAAATTTTCAAATACCTAGTAAACGTTATAAACAGTTTCTCGTAGGTTGTGGTATTTATTGGAATTAAAATAAAAATAAAAATAATTTAAATTTAATTCCATAAATATTTTGTATGTGCGTCTAAATTTAAAATGTTGACAAATTAAGTTATCGCGAAAATAACGATTTTCTTATTTGTCATGAGATGTGACTCAAAAACGAATAAACATAAATATCTATTTGACATTTTCACAAAAAATTAATATTATCATTTCTTGCACTTTATAAAATTTTCTGTAAATGTCGATAACATTTTTTACTTAAAAATTTGAATACGAGATTCCTGGTTATAGTTATTATTATAGCTATTTTAAATTTTAAAAATATATTTTCACGATTTTTTTGTAAATATTTAAAATTAAAACCTGGACGATATTAAAAATATAAACGAATTTCAACGATCTTGGTTATTTTGTTGTAATTATTGTGTATGCCGAGATTTGAAACTTTTCACTTTCAATTTTAAACCACACAACAGTCAACTTATTCACTCAGTAACTCTATTGGTTTATAATTTATAATAGTTAAAAAAAAGAATATGTGATTTTATATTATTATAATAATTAACTGTTAAAATAAAATTATGTTTTTTTCTGTTTTATGAAATAAAATCTATAGAAAAAGTTGTTTATCGATATAATATAATATACCTTATGTTGACAGACCATTCTGCCGAAAATCGTATTTTACATACAATGTTATATCATTGAATTTAAATTTTACACGTCTATTATAGAGATCCATTCAACATCTAATGTACAGCAAAATGATACACACTTGCCCACCTATTTAGTTTCAAATTTTGAAACCAAATATCTTTCGTTGTATTTTAATGCTCAAAAATTAAATTTTGAACAATTATTAAATATTTACTAAAAATTATAACTCGTCATTATTTGAACTTTAAACTAACGAATTAGGTAGATATTTTGCACAGTTGTTTTCTCAAACATTATTATTTTTCGAAATAATAATACTGCAGACTATATAAAAGAATCATCCTTTAGGTACATGCTTCTACTAATTCATAGATATTAAGTCTATTGATATAGACTCAGATATCTAATATCAATTCAAAACAATAATAGGATATTCGTTTACTTCAATGTATGTGTATATAATACATAGGGCACAACCGTCTACCAAAATGTGTATAAAACAATTAACGTATAATATAACTATAAGATATATATATTATATAGCATATAGGTATATTATAATTCTGTAGAATATAGACATACATGTTAAATATTTTAATTATGTATTATATGTAGGTCTGCACCCACAATAAACAGCAGTAAAATTCAATGTCATATAGATGTGGACTCTAATTTTAGTACAGGTGCTGTTTAGTTATTTTTTTCTTATTATTTTTATAGAACCGTTTCTGTGGATAGAACTCATTTACGCGCGTGGCTCACTACCATGCGTGGTAACTACACGGTATAAAATAAAGCCGACACGGGTGCGACGGCGGTGGGTACAGATAAATTTCTTCATACATATAATATTGTGCCAATTTTATTAAAAACGTATGTACACGATTTCGGCATGTTCATATTGCTATCGTTGTACTAGATGTTCTATATCTACGTGAAATATATGACCCTTTCAACCTTGGACCTATCGTACAAAGGGATAGCCCAAGGAATGTGAGTAAATTCCGAAATAACGTGTCGTCACGCCATGCATTTACCTACAAACCCGGTCAACGCTAATATAAATCACACAATCCGTACGCACAGTATGGTAGACGGCAGAAACGGACTTGGAAAAAAAATGTTTACCAAACCTCCTACACTTCGACTGCGCATATTCCATTACTCGAAGGTGTTTATATGCTATATCATATTATTGTTATCGATTAGGTTGCGATATTTAAACACAAAACGAAATCACCACACTGGTAATTATCGTATAAATTATTATAATTCGGGCGAACGACGCTCGTCGTTTTTTTTTCGCGAGTTGTATTATTATTATTATTATATATGGTGCTATGATAGAGTGTAAATTATAATTACGACCAATATAATTTTATCACTATTATATTATATATTACGCGAACGCAACGATTTTCTAATGCCCTAATGTCGTCCTACACAACTTTTTTAGTTAAAGATATGTGTGCGTAGTTAATTTATATGGTAAAATTTTGAGAAGGAGAAAATTTACCGACTTATTTTTGTCCGTTAATCTCTTTCTCTACCATTCTAAATGTTATGATATGATTCCTTGAATTAATAGTAATTTTCTATGATTTTTATTGATTTACCTACGAAAAATTTCATCAATTTTTGGCGGCTGTCATTACCGTATATTATTATCGACTACTATCTACAATCGGTAGTTAACGGCGCATATACCAATACAGCTTTATTGATAACTTTTACTAATTAATCTTATACGCATAGACGCATGTAAAACAACTGGATATTTAATTGCCTATTACATTCCTAACATAGTATTGGAATAGTTGAAGTCGTGAGGT